CGATAATGCAGCAATGATCAATTACGATACACCCGTGATCGATTCGAGACAAAATGCTGCTCCGATACTTTCGTATCGGGCAGCTAATATCTACTATATAGTCGCTATCTACTATATAATCGCGAAATAGTTTATCTATCTACTATTTAGTCACGAAATAGCTTATCTACTATATATAGTCACGAAATAGCTTATACTATATAGTCGCTATCTACTATATAATCGCGAAATAGTTTATCTACTATAAAATCACGAAATAGCTTATCTATTATATAGTCACGAAATAGCTTATCTACTATATAGTCACGAAATAGCTTATCTACTATATAGTCGCTATCTACTATATTAATTGCGAAATAGTTTATCTACGAAATAGCTTATCTACTATATATAGTCACGAAATAGCTTATCTACTATATAAGTCGCGAAATAGCTTATCTACTATATAGTCACGAAATAGCTCATTTCCTATATAAGTTACGAAATAGCATATCTACTATAGTCGCGAAATAGCTTATCTACTATATAGTCGTGAAATAGCTTATCTACTATATAGTCGCGAAATAGCTTATCTACTATATAGTCGCGAAATAGCTTATCTACTATATAGTCGCGAAATGGCACATCTTTGCGCATTATTTTATCCACCTATGCATTATTTCGCACCTAATGAATGGAAATATATCAAATTTGCCGACTATCTCTACATGAACATGAGCGTTAAAAGAAAAAGAAAGGTGATACGATTATGTATGATTATTTTTTTAAAAAAATTTATTATTAATCAAAAAAAAAAGATTATTTTTTTTTTTTGTTAGTAGCAAAATGGATTAACTATTACAAAAAAAAACATGAAATTTTGATTAGTCCATTTTATATATTATTCAAGTTTACCAAATGGAACTTTCATCTATTTAATATTAATGTGCAGTTTTAACTAGACACGTACATATAATACATACAGTACACACAGTATTGGTATTTATGACTGATATAAAAATAGAGAACTTTATCAAAAGATCAAACAAAATACAATATTAGGACAAGGTGAGCCAAGTATACGCAATTAATAGGTTTGTAGAAATAAAGATTTACAAATTTAATCATTTTTCATTAATGTCATGCTCTTTTGAAAAAATTAATCTATAATGCAATGCAATATATACCAGAATTAATGTAATATGTTCATTAGTCATTATAATTGACCAAGAACATTAAAATCTATTATAAACAAGTGATATTAATAATGCTATAAAACTTCTTTACTATTTATCAGCAGCTTTAAGGTCAACTTCAATAGCAGTATCAGCTGGAACACCATTAGATAAAACATATAAATAGGTACTTCTTCCTGGAGGCATTATATTTTCATTAGGTGGCATTGTAACGTCTACAGCGTATCCTTTATCAGTTGGAATAACGCTTTCAACTTTTAAAACAACCATTCGTTGTGACATATGATTTGAATGTGTAACAAATCCATGATGTATCAAACATGCAGAGAATGTTACTCCGGATTGCATGTTTAAATCCACCAATATTGTAACAACTTGGTTATAGTGTACTACTGTAGTATTTAGACCATTCATAGACGTGGTTCCTGCCACGGATTTCATTGTAGCACGAGGAGCACCAGTTAATAAGTATGGTGGTGTGAATCTTTCAACTCGATACCTTTATAAAGAATAAAAAATATTAGAACAAAATAAAATATAAAAAAAAATAAAAATAAAAAAAATAATACACATACTCCGTTGGATATTCACACGTAGTACAAGGAGGAGAATTAGGATTACTTCCTGACACAAAGACTGTTCCGTCTGGCAATAGAAAAGCATTTGAATGATAAACTCTAACTATGGTTGACGCAGCTAAAGTAGTCCACCGTGATCCATTGTTTGCCAATGGATCATAAAGAAATGGTGTTTTTATAGGGTTTTGGGCCGAATGAAGTCTATTGGTAGTTGATCCTTGATCTAGAATAAATTCACAAATTATTATTATTATTATTATAAATATAATTATAATTATTATTATGATTATTGTTATTATTAATATTAATAGCATGATACATAATATTTTTTCATAATATTAATGTTAATATTATTAATTATTGCTATTATTATTTTATGACAACAAAACAATTATAGTAATAGTAAGAGTTAAACATACCCCAACCAGCAAATCCACAAGAAGCACCATTTAGATACAATAATTTTCCGTCAGGCATTAAAACACCGTCAGGCATAACACGAGGTTGAGCAGGATTTCCAAAATCTTCAGTTTCCCAAGTAGCATTACCTTTACTTAAATCGATCCTTGCACAAGTAGCATCAGCAGGATTTTCAGGTTTCATATCATAAGAACCACCA